CTGCTGAAAATGCATGGTGCATTTAAACTATTATGTTACTATTTAAACCAAAATACTCTTAGCCATCCTAAGAGAGCGTTCTCTTTCCATGTGCTGATCTGCAGTAGCTACAAAGACCTGCATTCATGACCTCCAGGCTGAATTAATAGTCTGATTAAAACCTAGAATATAAAGTGATTGGTACTAAGAGTCAGTATTTGAATTGTTGAACATTAGTAATGTTTCAAATAAAGGGGTCGGTTTTCCTACACACTTCTCAATAACACATTGTGTTGGCTTCTACTTTGAGGAAAAGAATTACAGACGTGGATCTTACAAGATTGAGTTATATTGGAAGTATGGTTTGAGATTTTCCAAGGAGCATGTCTCATATGACTTGAGAATAAAACACTTGATTATTTTCACTGTGCAGTCTCCTACCACTTCTAATAAATGCTTTATCACAATCTTATCCGTGTTGAAGTCTTAAAGTAAGAGATGTCTGTTTTGTAAATCTACTTGTAATTTGACAGCACTCATTTCCTTTGTGGAAGTGTAGTTTACTTTTTCTAAAATTTCTCTTCTGTAGTGCTAAACAAACCCTGTTTCTGCATGTCTGAATCTAGGTGGATGCATTACGATTACGCCTGGAAGAGAAGGAGACTATGCTAAATAAGAAGACAAAGCAGATTCAGGAGATGGCAGAGGAGAAGGGGACTCAAGCAGGAGAGATTCATGACCTCAAGGACATGTTAGAGGTGAAGGAACGCAAAGTTAACGTTCTGCAGAAGAAGGTAAGATCATAGAGGTCCAAGCGAGATGCACACCTCTGATGCATCTCAGTTTCTGCCTCTGTCAAAATGTCTGAACTAGATTTTACATTTTGGAGATTAATAATTAAATCCATTTATGTAATGGGAAGATGGTGAATTTTGAATTTCAGATTGAAGAAAAAATAGAACTCAGAGGAGAGGTTGTTGCCTTTCAGTGGTTGAATGTGCTGCTTCTGTTTCCCCTTTACTATTAACAGTAACTGAAGTATTTGTAGGAAGGCACATAATCTGAAAAATCAATCCTTTCACACTCACCACCTCAACAAAGCCATGCTGATATGAAGCATGGGGCACTGGGTGACTACGAGTTCAGTACATGACTAAATGAATGGGAGGGGTTGTATCAGAAGCAATTAGGATGGTTCCTCTGTAATATACTGAGAAAAGTTCAGAAAGAACTTTATGTAACTTTCATTAGAAATGCTGTTTTATCATATTTAATATTTCTTGGGTACTACTAGAATAGGATAAGCAGGGTTCAGACTATCCTGTGTATCTTTCTGGATAAGAAAATGTAGGTCTTGTCAGTAAAATGGAGGAAGTCTAGATAAGAAACAGTAGACCTTGTCAGATAAATTAGAGAGGTTTCCCAAAGGGCTTTGAGTCCTAGGGCAGTGAATGTCATTATGGATGATCGTTTACAAATTGCACACAATATTTTCCAAATGGCTGCTACACGTGCAAAGAAGAGAGAAATGCATGCATCTCAATACATTTTAATTTACAGAATACTTTTTCCTCTGTTTTTTTAGAGAAGCTGCTCTTGGAGCTTGTAGTTAATGTACTATGCTGTGAATGTGGGTTTTTTTTCTAGACCATTAAGCAATTCTATGGATTCTTGTAATTTTAATAGTTCAGAATATTGATTAATTTCTGATGTCTGGCCAATGCCTTTTCTGCTAGTGAATAGCTATGTATCATGAGAGTTTAGGTCATGATCAGTTCTGTTATAGCAAGCTTCATGCAGGAATGGAAGTTCAGGCATGGAGTTTAGCCGTAAGTCAGGCTAACAACAGAGTTTGCTACAACAGAGCCCTAATTCCCAGTCTTCATGGTCTCATTTTTTGACTGTCTTTTTAGAAACAAAGATTTCTAAGTTTTGTGCTGTGCTTTCTCATTATTTTCAAAATTGGTCATGCACACTCCAAATCTTGATTGAGATCCCAGCTGAATGTTTAACCAAGAAGTGGGGAATCTGACATTTGCGTAAATGTTAAATGTCAGTGAGATTGTTTTACTTCCATTTACTCTTACAGTGCTTTTTCACATTATTTCTTATTGGCTCTACTTAACTCTTCAGGATGATCTTTCATTGGTTCACTTACAGGCACTGCTAAAAGTTCTCTCTACTCACTTTTTATACTTGTTTTCTTGATACCCCCCTAATTTATATGAAGACAGTTTCATCTTGTCTCTTCATGTGGCTAGCCTGTTTTTGAGGTTAGTTTGCTGCTGCTTTCAAGTAAAAGTACCTGGTCTCTGTAGACTGGAAGGTAAGGGCCCAGGCTTTCAAACATAGAGGTTTTGAGATCTTGTTCTCCTAGATAGTTCAACATAGACTAACACTATCATAATAAACAGCAATTTGAGTTGTTTTGTAAACCTGTCTCTGAGCTTCTTAAACAAACATATAACCTATCTATAGAAAAATGTCTCTTTCCTGCTGCTAACTAGAACCACATGCAGATACTTGAATTTGCTTTAGCCTTGAAGTTGTTGGAACCATTTCCTTGAGCATGAATAGTTAGATTTTGAAGATTTAAAAGTGATTTTTTTCAGTTTCTGTAACTACCAAATGTGGAATATTTTTATGGTGAATCCAGCTGACAATACTTTTATCTGAGGTTTGTCGGGCAGTATGGAATGATTTTTATTTTTTATATAGCCTAGGGTTAATGATCATCAATCCAATCCTTAAAAGTTTTAGGACTGATGTCTTTAACTGAATTTTTAATTGGTTCTCCAGACCTAGGATCTAAGACTAGTTTGGGATTTTCTATAGATGTGGCTTTGTATTTTCTTGTTCTCTTTAGCAGTTTTCCACTGACAAGCAGAGCTTGAGAAAATACTGAAGGAAGGACAGATCTGATGTGTCCTTTTCTGACTGTGCAGATAGCTATTTCTGCCCTCTGTCTGAAACTTCAGAAGCCTGTAGCTCCTCTCATATAAACATATTTCTTTTAAAGCTTGCAAACTCTGATTTACCTTTTTTTTTTCTTACATTTCCATATTGCACGTTCATACTAAGGTGCGCAGCCTGTTTTCTCCTTTATCCAAGTGCTGTCTTTTGGACCTTCCAGGATAGTTCAGAATTTCATTTTCTGTTTGTGTTTTTTTTTAAGTGCAGCTTTTAAACTTTTGCCTCCATGCACAATAGCCTCTTTGTTCCTCCCTCTGATTATAAACTGAAATGTTCAGACAGATCAGGTTTTAATCTGTATATTCTAATTAAAGATCTGGAAGGTATAAAATATTTTCAGAGGTCATAGATAGTTTTTTTTTTTTTACTGGCTTTGTTATCTGATACTAAATGCTTGTTTTAGATTCAACAACATGATTTAAGTGGTATTTAGGCATTTTAATTGAATGCAATGAAAGACTATGAAAGGCGTGTGGTATGAAAATTTCCTCTTGTGCAGTGTTAAATATTTTGTCATGGATATTTGGAAACAGCAGCAGCAGCATGTAACTGCTCTTTGCAGGTAGGAGACGGTATGGGGTACAGTTGTTGGCATGTTGGAGTTTAACCAAATTAAGACTTAATTAGTAGACAACATTCAATCAGTTTCTACCAAGTACTCTTGCCTCAGCATACCCTCAGATTTGAGGATATTTTTGAAGTGGGTGTTCTTCTGAGCTGAATTCTGAACACTAATGGTTTTTTAATGCTAGGTGAAAAGAAAATTTGTAACAAAGCTAAAATCATTGTTGAAAAAGGTAGAATTTATTGAAAAATCGTTAACTTGAATAACTTCCCCATTTAGAAAAAGTTGTTTACTTGCTTTTGTAATTTACAGAGATAGCCTCTGCTGCTAATATAGCCATAGTCAAATGATACATGGCTATACTGGGCATTTGGACTTCTGATAAAATTTTTCCTGTGACTGTTTTAAGTGTGTAATTACATATTCTGATGACCCTGACAACAATTTTTTTTATGTGGTGCCCAAAACCATACAATACTAACTTTCTGCAGTATCTGTTGTTGAAACAAAAATGGTTTAAGATGCACCCTTTACTACTGGGTCTCTGCTGGGATTCATTGACACAGGCTACTGCACAGTGTGTTTTATGAACGATTAGTATCATTAATTAATGGTGCTGGAGTAGACAGTATACATTTTGGTCATTCTAAAATTCATAGGAAGAAAGTAATGAAAGTTTACTGACTGATAAGAGATCCCATAAAAGACACAGGAGAAGATTATGAGCAACAAAAGATCTGGAAAATTAACATGACAATCACCATCAATACTGGTGCCCAGTAGGCACCAAAATACATGTTCCAGGTTGCTGAGGAAACCACATGCTTCACATTTCAAATTCTGGAATCTTTCCAGTTCTAAGCTCCTACAGTGATGCTGCTTGCTGGTTCCTTTATTTAAGACAATAGAAATAGACAAATGCTACAAATTTGAAGACTTCAGAAATTATTTGTAGGTTTATGTCTGACAATTTGATGCAAAAGCTTTTTAAGTTTTATAGAGCTTCAGAATTTATTTTTTTTTTTTCATTTCATTGAAAATTAATTTTGCATAAAATCTCATTTTCAGTTGTTAGAACTCCAGGAAAGGGGAGAATGTCAGAAAGTGAAATAGGGACCATGCTGGGCAAACTAAAAATCTGAACCTGAAAAGCATTAAATTGTGCTTTGTTATTATCTTTGCCACATCTGTCTTATCTGTGCTAGTAGACCAGGATGAAAAGAAATGAAGGGAAAAACCAATAAATCAATACTTCGCAATCAAAGCATTTTAGAGAAATAACATTTGGGACAAAAGATAAGTAACAGTTACTTTGAAAGAAAAGAAAAAAAAAGCAGCAGTGAATCCATCACCCCTTGCTTTGGGGGGAGGTCATGTTTTGTCTTGGGGAGGGGGGTTAACACTCCTGTCATTGTGTAATGCAGCTGCAGGCAAATAAAATGCAAGTTTTAGTGTCTGAACATAGAAGTGTTTTTGGCAGCTCACCATGCACTATGTGATAATTGACCTGTGATAAAGTAAAGAAAAAATACACTACTTTTTTTTTTTTTTTTGGCTGTGCTGATTGTTCAGCTGGTATTTGGGAAGACTCCAAATGCAATTTTCCTTTTCTTTTGGATAAGAAGGATTGACTTCCTCCATAGGAAATAAATGCCCTCTGCTTTTCAAAAAAGCCTAGAAATCAAAATAAGTATCTTATACTTAATGAAAAGAAATACTCTGTGGCAGGAGAGAGGGACTGCAAATAAAATTTATAACTCCCTTGTTTAAAGTCAGTAGTGATCATAGTTACTACAACAACAGTGTTAGTTTAGTGTTCGTAACTTTTAAAGTTCCATGTTGGTACTTTAAGAATTATTTTCTTTCCATTTTCTCATCTGTGAAGTAGACTTACCTCCTCAGGCAGCTCTGCTGCTCCAACTCTGAAGAGATGAAAACGCAGAGAGAAGGAAATGCGTTTTCAGACATTTAATTCAATTTATAGCAGTTTCGTCTTCCCTGGTATTGCCTTCAACTTGCCTGCCAGGTGAATGAATATATTTTTTTCTAAGAATTAATAAAATGCAGGATGGACTTAGAGATATCCCTTTGACACTCTCCAAGATGACAGTGTTTAAAAATTATCTGTTAGCACTGCACATGATGGCCCTTTCAAACCTGCAGCATGTCTAAGTCTCTGGTTGTGCAAACTGTACAGAAAAGAACATGATAAGATTGTCCCAACAAAGATGGTCCACATGTGAGTTTAGAAAGTGG